TGTTTTTCAAAGGCATTTATCAATGTAGAGAGTACATATACTATAAAGATAATAATAATAATATGTTGGCGCTTACACTTTTGCTAAGTGTTTGGCCGAGCTCTCCTTATTTGTGGTGTGCGTCTTGATGCTGTTGCACAACTGCAGGGACCTACAGTTTTACGCCTTTTCCGAACGGCAAATGGATTTTATGAAAAGCTTTTTCATGGCAGAAATATATTTAGGAGACTTGCCATTGCCTGCCGAGGAGAGACCGCTGTAAGAAGAAGCTTTTTCTAATTTTCAAAACCCATGGGTTCTACGGAGTGTTAGTACGCACCTCTAAGCACATCAGTCACAGTGGCCGCCACTACATTTGTGGTGTCATAAGTACAAGTTATCTTTGATATAAATTGCAGAGATGCTAACTCGTTTGTTTGACGACCATTTGCCTAATTTCGGTTAGATGAAAATGAGGATATTGATACCGAATAAATAAATATTCAATTGATTACATTTAAATTAACTTAGAAAATATTTGATGATTCAACTATGTGTCCCAACTAGTTTATTTTTGCTTTGCATATTGACAGAGTTGAACCACTCGAACTCGTCCCATGGGTGCGCGCATGGTTTACAACTTTTTAGTCAGTTTACTTTTTCCTAAAGCATATTCTCCTTTTTGGATTTTCGCGTTTTAGCAGACGTCAACGAAACTCTCGGAAGCCATGGGCCGCGCCATGGAAGACATGACAAATATAACTCATCGTAAAATGAAGCGTGTGCCACCCACGTTTCGAAGTTTATTTATCTTTGTTACATCGATTGCTCGCACGAACTTAGAGTCTGAAATTATACAGCGGGGCGGTTCTCTGTGCACAACTAATGCAACGCGTTATAAACCAAAACGTGACTGCATTGTTCCTCTGTTGCATGTGTTATCGGTGCACGTGCGGGTGCTGGTGGAATGGCCATTATGGCGATCGTGGGCCTCACTTGCTGGATTACCTGTAACCGATGCGGCTCCAGTGCCTTCACATTGTCGCGAACTGATACCCAGCCTTTTAGCAGATCCCATAGCATTACTTTTGAAATTTATTTTATTAGCTCCTCTACATCTGGATCAAGGTGAGTTCTACACAGTTTCACATACATATCGCTCATTTGCTGCAAGAGTGTAATAATCAAAAAAAAAAAAGTTAAGTGTGTCAGAAATGATCCCAAACCTCTTTTTGTAAATTGTTTAACATTTTTATAGCTGTATCGATTAACCATAGCTCATTAGAAGGCAACTTGTCTTTATTTTTATTATGGATTAGGACGCTCTTGCAGCAAATGTGCCATGTGTGATACATTGACATAAAAAATAAATACAAATTTCCGTGTACCTTAATTCGTATAACTCATATCACGATAATTTCAAGGCAATCAACTATTCGAAATTAGAACAGTACATACTTATAAAATCCAAACGTAACATAAAAATTTCTGCACTATAATATCCTGTTTACCTAAGTTCCTCCTTATCAATAAATATCCACTATTTAAAATTTTCAGTCGAAATTAAAATATAGTTGCCATAAAATTAAAAAAAAAAAATATATTTTTATATTATGTAAATAATCAATGCTACTCAAAGATGCATTTTAAACAGGGACGTGAACCGGTTTTGAACCGACCGGTAACCAACCCGCTTTTTTCTATTAATTAACTGAACCATAACCGAACCGAAATTTTCCACAAATGTTTGATCCGAACCGAAAACCGAACCACTTTCCATAAAAGTTTAAATGGTTCGTTTCACCCAATTTTCAATAGATAAATGTACCACTTTTTTTCTTTTTGTTAAACATGGTAATACCTACCATGTTGTACACATAGTGACAATGTATAAATAAGGCAACCCATCTCATTTGACAGACACTTGCGCCCTTAACTTGCGCGTTGTTGCACTTGACACTGGACGCTTAAACTTGCGCCGTTATTTTTTTTTTTTGTTTTTCAACCGCTTGAACCGAACCGAAACCCCGGTTCGAAGACCAAAAAACCGCTTTGACGAACCAATCCAAAAGTGCAAAAACGGTTCGAACCGCTGCAGCGGACCGAACCGACCAAATGTTTCATCCGGTTCACGTCCCTGATTTTAAACGATCTATCACACCTTAAAATATGGACATACATATGTATGTAAATAAAAGAATGATTTTGGCTGTTTTTAGGACTCGGAATGAACGAAAATTACAAATTTTTTTCTTTCGTAGGTAGCTCGACTCGGTCTAATGCACATACAGTGACTAAAACAAATGACCACGTGTTGGTTTTTTTTAATATTCGTAACATTTTTCCAGATAATTTTGTTGTTTGACGTCTCCCACGTTTTATTTTATAGAAATTGATACTTATATGAAAAGAAGTGCAAAAATCCGTCACCAAAAAAAAATTTTTTTAAAAAATCAACGCGATTTTTAGCCGTTTTGCACCTCATTAGACTAAAATTCAGAATAAAAAGTTGAAATTTTGATGAAAATTTGTTGAATTTTCCTAATTTTTATAAAGTTTGAAGTTTGCTGTGTTTACACGGTTTTGGTTAAAGCTTAGACGATATTTTTATATAAAATAAACAAACAAAAATTTGGCTCGAAAAACATTACCGAAGTATTTGAAGAAAATCAACATGTGGTCATTTGTTTGAGTAACTGTATGTATGTATGTATGTGCATCATAACTGATTATAATCTCTTCTGCTTGCAGATTTCTTCACATGTATGGTTAAGGTTATGTACAATTTGCTCTACTATCAAATAGTTGTACAACTTTGTGTTACGCTCACTGATTTAGAATGTGATTATATCATATCGAAATATAACAAGTCTCCTTCCACGGATGATGCTGATACGGTGGCGTCGCAACTCATCACGTTCAAGCGGTGGCAGCTTATCGAATATGCTCTATTTGGGACGCGCTATGGCGTTAGTACTGAATCACACAAACCGTATGTCACATTTACGTCGCGAATGCATACCCAGTACTTCAACAGCTGCTGCGGCTGCAGCTGCAGCTGCGGCGTTGGCGGCTTCTGCACAATTAAATGCATTAGGCAATCCTGGATTTCCGTCGTCCAGCAGTGGAAATGGAGTTGGTAGCTGGAGCTTCCAATACCGAGGTCGAAGTAAATATGAAATCCATGGAAGCTCAGTTGCAAACTCTTTGCCTACCATTTCTGCGCATTGCAGCATTGCTGAGGCAGCATCTTTACAGGCACGACATGCCAGAGATATCAGCTCCAGGCTTAGAGTTTGTGCGACTGGTTTATTACTTGGAACTCGTAACTGATTCAATGGACTGGGACTGTTTTAATGCTTCGAAGGGCCTCTGCTTCATTGCTGGAACAGAACAAACTTTGCCCAAGTTTTGGTGTGAGCAATTAATGTATATAGGGCCACCAACCGATACAGTGCGAGAGCTCGTCATCATGAACCAGCATGCATCGTGGCAGCAGCCGAAACTCCTCGAGTTACCACGCGAATATGAGCGCTTGTTCACGGTATGCCAGTACTAATTCAAATAATAGTTTCTGTATTATTGTGTTTGGTGTTTTTTTTTTAGTACTACCACGAACGTCCATGTCTGAATTGTTACAAAGTGCCAAAGGAAAGCTCCATTTGTTTATTATGTGGTACAATTGTGTGTCTGAAACAAACATGTTGTGCGGAAAATGATTGTTGCGAAGCTGTTCGGGTAAGTTCTTGACAAATATTAATAAATTGTTTAATTAAAATATATATTAGTTTCGATTTTATGCAGTTAGAATACCAAGCTTACAGGCTAATAGATATTATCTCTCTAGCTGTCCCGAGACAAGGCCAAATCGCGTGGCCAAAACCGTTTGGGGTCTCGGGAAGTCTCAGCGCTAAGAAAAAGTCGTGCGTCAGCTGTTTAAATGCCGGGCAGGGCGCACGGTGCACTGGGAGGTATACTCAGCTAATCTTAATCCAAAAGGTTTATCAGACAAGTTGAAAGGGAGAGTCTAAAAACTGTCCGTGAACGAATTTATTCAATCTCTCAAGCCGCATGCCCAAAATTCCCTTTGACCCGGCACTTGTTTCGGTGAGCGATCGGTTCTTTCGATAGGCATTCTGGTGTGAATAAAATGCAGCCACTGTTGCTACAACGATCCAGTCGATAATTTCAGGAGCTAAAAGCCATTCTGCATTCATTTATCCATTCTATTTTGTATAGAGTGGCACAAATTGAAGGGCTTCTGCTTGCCAAGTCCTTTTCCACTTGATCTTTCTATCGCAGAGGAGGCCTTCCTCTTCCTCTGCTACCACCAGTGGGTTTTGAGTTGAATACTTTCAAAGCTGGAGTCGCCTTCGCTAATGCGTAAAGGCCCCTCATTCTTCCGCAAAATCTTTCTCTCGACTACTCCATTGGCCAAGCTCTGCGCCATATATCAGCACGGGCATGATGAGTGACTTATAGAGCCTGGTGTTCACATCGTCGAGAGAGGACTTTACTTCTGAATTGCCTACCCAGTCCAAAGTAGAACTTGTTACGTGGATTTCTATGCTGATATTATTATCGAAATTCTCTACTTTTTCGAAATTATAACTGTGGGCAAAACTTCAAATTGAAATTTTTATTTATTTTTTTATCGTTTGTTAATATTTTTTGACTTAGGGCGCGTGTGAATCGGTAACAAAGTTCTATGGGGAAAGCTGGTGAATAATTTTTTGACAACAGTAAATTTTTGACAACCGCAGAATAAAATATTATAAAATGAAGTGAAATGAATATTTTAAGAAAACATGCACCATTATTGATTGCAATTCATCAATTTAAGCTTTTAGTCAATTTAATTTTAATCAATTAAAGCGTTTGAAACATTTTTAAGAAATTATCTACCATCACTGATTGCATTTCATCAATTTAAGCTTTTGTTTTACGAAAAATTACACACAACAACAATCTTTGCGATTGTCAAAATTTTCTATGCATTTGTCAAAAATTTCACTAGCCTCATGGGCTACTGAAATTTTATTCACCTCATAGTTGTCAAAAATTTACTTACCGCAAACTTTGTTACCGATTCACACACGCCCGTAGTGTAATATTTATTAATTTTGCCACCAGAAACTCCATTTCCTTATATTTTATTGTTTTTGCTTAAATTTGAGGCAGAAAAATTATACACATCAACAGTCTTTGCGATCGTCAAAATTGTATATGCATTTGTCAACAATTTCATTAGCCTCATGAGCTAGTGACATTTTATTCACCCCACACTTGTCAAAAATTTACTTACCGCAAACTGTGTTACCGATTCACACACGCTCTTAATAGTACCTTAAAAGACAGCCACACTGAGCTGTCAATCACACCTTGTATGATACACCTTGACTGTGGGTGACAAGGCGCGAATGCGCTGACTGTTGGTTTGATGACAGGAAATACTTCGTCTTTTCCTCGTTTACCACCAGACCCATTCGCTTTGCTTCCTTATTCAACTTGGGGGAAAAGGCAGAACGGCTTTTGTCATCGGCACACGCCAGCAATTGCACACTCTTGTGTGCGGCTCTTCAGATTAAAGAAATCAAATGAAAGGGAGTCGCCCTGCCTGAAACACCGGATGGCAGCAAACGATTCGGATAGGTCTTTCCCAATTCTGACGGAGCTGGTGGTTTTTTGCTTATCTTATTTTTTCATTTCATTTTCAATGAATTTAAATTTAAAATTTGCCGAAAAAAGACTTTTATACTGATGATGATTTGGGAGTTTGATCACGATAACTTGGCTTTCAATTTTATATAATAGAGTATAGGGGATCTGTACGTATGTATATCAGTACTGCTGTTACTAATTCCGGAGTTTAACTTTAGCATACAATAACCTGTGGAGGAGGAATTGGAATATTTCTTGTAGTCACATCTACCTACATAATAGTGATCCGTGGACGACGTGCCTGTCTCTGGGGCTCAGCTGTATTTAGACGATTTTGATGAAGAGGATCGAGACCTTAAGTGAGTTAAATACTGCCAAATGCTATACTATATAAGAGTATTTTGTATATTTTCTATCAAACATTTCTTGACATTTTCATAGGCGTGGCAAGCCACTGTATCTCAGCCAAGACCGTTTTAATTCTACTGGAATCACAATGGCTTTCGCACAGAGTTTGCGCATACGAAACACACTTGGGTATTCCATCGGGATTTGTTGTGAAACTGGGAAGATTACTAAGAAGGATTCAAGAGTTAGTAGGACAAATCTATTTAAATCGTTGATCAGCAAAAAATGTAACGAAATACGTATATTATGAACGATATGTTCAAGTCTAATTTATAATATGAAAAAACTGAAAAATCTCGAAGATTTTGCGAAGCAAAGAAGTAAATAATCTGTCGCGTTTTTAAAATGCGTTGCAAACAGTTAAATACGGCAAATAAACGCTTTGCTTTTACATTATTGATAAGCTATAGAAGTTTCAGTTGAATAAATTGCAGGTTAATTATGTTTAAATAACGTAGATAAAGAAAAAATTTAAATCGGCTTAAGTGAAGAAGCTAGGGTGTCAAAAACAAGAACTAATGCATGTGAAACGTTTAAGCAAAAATCAAAAGGTAGCTTAGAAACTTAAGTGTTATCCAATTACAAGCTTTGTAAGAATATTCAGATAATGCTGAAGTATTCTTTGTATTAATATTACAATAACTGGAGTAATAGGGTTCGAAAAACTATACATATAGTAGGATAGAAGACATCCTCGATAAAACTGCATAAAAATAAAATTTAAAAAACATATTACACACACAATACATATGCACAGTTTAAAGAAAAGGTATCTTCGTCAAATTATGAACCACTTGTAATGACGAATGTGACGATTGCAAGCCGGTCTTGGCGTGCTTGTGTAATTTATGTATACAAAGTTATGAACAACTCATTTGATTAAGCCTAAACAAAAGCTAATTAAAAATACATACAAATGTAATAGTTTAAAACATAACATATTTAATTTCATTTATGTGATATAAAATAATATTAATTATGCGACAATTAAAAGAAAGATGCGATGGAACTAAATGTATTTGAATATTCGGAATGAGACTCATTATTTTCATATTGCACTCGAAATTAGCAATCATATTAATCTAATTAAATTAATGGGTGACATTTGAATATCGATAATGCTCTTATAAATATTTAATATTATCCTTAGGTAGATGAAGATAAAAATTTCTTGCAAAAACATACGTATATTTAAGAAAAATAAATCATTATTTCAAAACACACACCTATTATTATTTTTAGTTCTTATGTGGCACTACAACCGTTTGTCGATTTAGGCCGAGACAAAAAGCTTCGCCAGTTGGTGGTCTTGGTCCTTCCATTGTATTATGGGGCGCCCTTGCTATGGCTATTATTTATAGCCGAACCAAAAAGAGTCTCACTTAGTTGTAGTGATAAAATTGTATTATACAGTAAGTATTTATCAGAGTGCGAAGAAATTCGCTCGCGATCGCTCAAAAATACGATCTCATACAAGGCGCATCAATAAAAGGTGGTGTTGATTGATCAGCTGATTGGATATTTCTGTCTCTACAGTACAGTAGAATGTCATCCAAGACGAAGCGGCGCAACTTTAGGATGTCAACAAAAGAAAATGATGAAAGTTATCTCCTATTCCCTTTCGTTTTGACATCCTCCTGTACCAAAAAGCAATAACAAAATNCATTCATGCGCCTTGTTCACATATTAGCTCGTCTTGCGATTGTATTTTACCGCGATAAATACTTGAGCAAACGAGCGTTAGAGAAAACATTCCCTACAAGACATCTGCTGGTCATACGACTGGGAGATCTGCAGCCTTTTGGGATCATATTTTACGTCAGAATTGCAGGGATTTCTGAAAAATCTAACCAGTTCCTTTGTGTACATGTGATTTTCCATCCCTTTTCATCGTAAGGCCTCGATTGATGTCAACTTAAGGTTCCTGTTTTACTGCTTTAAAATTGTGGGGAAATTTTTACAGCATTTTTTATGTGTATTGGTTTTTGTTTGAGTGTATTGAGAATCGGTCGGTCTAAAATGTCCTTTTCTTGTAGGGTTGCCATTGCCTACGTTGTCGTTCGTAAGAGATCGTATCCTAAGGTTTATGCATATTATAACATATATCGTCGAGGATATCACATATAAATTTTGGTCACAATTGGAGTCGCCAAACCATCAAAAATTTCGAGGTAGTCTCGAAAATCCCGAAATAGTCCCAGAAATCCCGAAGATCCCTCATATCACTCATAAATGTCAGACTGTGCTTACCTTTTTTGACATTTTAGAGTATCAAATCAATAACAAAATAACAAAATTTGAGCCTGGTTGTATTTGGTTTTTATTGAAGCGAAACTTCTTAATCGAGTTCGGAGATTTAACGCGTTAAATATTTAATGAGCTACAAATAGTGTTGTATGAGCGGTTAAGGTGGGCGTGGTACAAGTCAAGATTTGGGCTTTTTCTTATATATGCCATGACTATTGACTTCGCCTAGTTTCAACTTCGTAGCTGCATTAGTTAAATTTATGTCAAAAAATCGGGACAAGTGTGTAGTGAAACAGGTGCGTATTGAAATTGGTAAATGCAAAATTAAAATTAAAATTAAAAAATTGCGTGAAATCGGTTGTAAAAGTACCAATTCTATTAAGAGAAAACGTGGGACGTAAATAATTTCCCTCTTGAAATAAACGGCCGGAGAGAAGAAAAAAGTAAAAATCCCATATAATTATTACGAGAAGAGGTAAATAATTTCTGTCCTGAAATAAAGCTCCCGCGAGACAAATATATTTATTGTAAGAAGGCGTAAATCATTTCCATCTGAAAATAATCGTCCCGCGAGGGTAATACAAGGTAGTACTCATAAATAATCAGACCAGGGTTAACATACAAGATTTCAATTGAAAAGAATTTCAATTTTAAACAAATAATGCTGGACAATTTTTCTGCATGGAGAAAATGAGCAACACCTTCCACAAAAAAATTTCCAAAAATCAATGGAATCCTACCTACTTACAATTTGTAGTTTGTTTTACTAAAACTGAACGGGCTACAAAACTGCATACTCATAATGTTTTTAAGAAATCTACTTAAAAACTTCAACATTTTTATTAAACTTTGCAATTTTTGTACAAAGTTTGAAATTTTGACTTACATACTTTTTGTTAGATAATGAGCTACACTTTCATAAAAGATATTAAACATTAAATAATCGAAAGGGAAATAGCTAAAGATGCTGAAATGTCACTAGGTTAGGTTAGGTTATGTTAAACGGGCAGCTCTGCGAAGAGTTCAATCGCAGGCCGCGAAGGCTCATTGCGATGCCCATGGGGGGTTACCACAAGCCTATCTCTACATGTCTTCGAACCATTTTGATTTTCTGACGAATCCTAGCAGTCCTTCCAGAGGAGCTATTCCCAAAGTATCCAGGTTCTCGAGTAAATGGTCTCCAAGAAACTTTAGGCGTTTTACTCGAAGTGCTGGACACTCGCAAAGGAACGGCGATGGACGGGTTCTAACTCCTCATCCCTGCCGCGTTGGCTCCGAATCTGGCGGCCATATGGTCAATGGTCCAATGCCCCGTTAGTATTCCTGTGAGAAGCCTAACGTTTGGCTTTGAAAACCTTAATAGACTACTTGTTCTTCGTTCATCGAGTAAAAATTTCACCAGTAAAATCTGAAAATTTACTGCACACATTTTGCGGCCCGCAAAAACAAGAAGAAGAAAGTAAGAAGTAAATGAAATGAAATAGATAAAAATAAATACAACAATAACGTCTTTGGCTTAGGTTGAGGATACTTTTGTTAAATGACTTGTGAAATTTTCAAATTTAATTTCGTGAATTAAAGAATTCCCACAAGTGAGCAAATCACTGCAACGCGGAATCGTTTCGGTAAGCCCAAAAAAACAGAGGAGAAAATGTCGATCCGATATCATACCAAGTAATGTGAAAAGGGTCTTAATAAAAATAAAAATAAAAACACAAAAAGGTTAATCCCAAGGGGAGATATTTTATTTTGACTACAGGGTCTCGTTTCAGCCCACTGTGCGGCGCCTAGTCAACCGCAACATTAAACGTAAAATCACA